CCACCCCCCACCCCCCACTCCCACCCCCAGTCCCCCATCCCGTATCCATTCTTCGGTTCTTTTCCACCCACGGTTTCCAGGGGGTTCTCTGTGTGCCAAAACCAGCGAACCTCCAAATATTTGCTGAAGTGTCAGGAACCTAACACAATGTTCCCATTCTGTTTGCTTCTGCCCAGATGAGGATAGCTGGTTCTCATAACTTCCTTTCTGTAGCAGACCCAGGTGCCTAATCTGACCGTGCAAACCAACCAAAGGCAACAGGGACAGACTGCCATGTTCGATACATAGTCCTGGCAGCATAAACTTACCCTTGGTAGAAGCTCCCCAGCCTGAACCCTCAGAAAGGGCAGCACTGTGACGAATGCTGTTCCTGGAGTACCATTCCCATGATAGCCTGAGAGAGGGAGAAGAGAGAATCTGATGGCCCACCAGTCTGCAGGTCAGAGTCCAGGGGCTCGCAGGTGCCCTAAGATTAAAGTAAGAAGGAATGAACCTTGATGGCAGCCAGAGGAGCTAAGCTTCCCCCAGGAGACAAATTCCTAAAGAAGCTCCTGAACCTTGAAACTGGACTCTTCTTTGGGGGACTAGAAATCAACCCTCTTTACTAGGGGATAAATGTGGCCCTGCCTATGAGCAGACCAGGCCAGATACTGTGAGAAAAAAAGTGCCTGTAAGTCCCCAAAGGTCACAGAAACAGCACCCCCACATGTAACTACTGAGGTGCCTTCCTGTGTCTCTTTGTCTGATGACAGAGCTACCTTTAATGGCAATCTCATTCGGGGCTACTGGTAAAGACTCGAGTGGCCATTCTGAGGTCAACGGGTCTAAATCCAGAAAATTGAGACTGCATCAAAATAAAGCTTGATGGTCTGACAAAAACAGCAAACTGAACTATCCTTGCTTCTCCTCCCTGCAGATATGTAACCGGCTTGCACCTCACGTTTCCTAGAAGGCAAAGCCAGTAGTACAGACAACTTTTAAGGAGAGGTAAGCAAGAACGTACAATAGGGCCATGGCTAGGAGGATGCTGGGACTCAATAAACAAGAGGTAAGTTTAGATAAAACTAAATTTGCTTCATAAGTAGAACATATAAGGAAGAACAAAAGAATTAACAAAAGACCTCTATTATTTAATATTTCACAGGTATTAAAGTTACCTTCAGGAGCTAGAGAGATGGCTCAGTAGTTAGGAGAGCTTGCTGCTCTTCCAGAGGATCCAAGTTCTCTCCTCAGCATCCTCACTGGGTGGCTCACAACAGCCTGTGTAATTCTAAAACTGGGGGGCCCAATATCCTCCTTTGGCTTCTATGGGCACCAGAACACACAAATGAAGTTACCTTCATAATAACTTATAAAGTTAGAGCTTAACTCTGAAAGTGAAAAATTACTGAAGGAACCAGTTAATTTCTTAAAACCTTAAGTGTGAACAAAACTGGAGTCTTTATTCACCAGTGTGACTCACAGAAAAGGTGTGTGTGGCCAGAGTTCAATGAGCCTAAACTCCACCATTGTGCTGGAAGAGGAAGTCACACCCAAACCAGGCCTAACTGCTGCCGTCTACACAGCTGCCAACCAGAGCCCACAGACAGAGACCTGCTGAGTCTACATTAGCATGAGAGGCAGAGTGCTCATTTATAAACCAAAACCACAAAAGTGTGAGTTCCACAGGAGACCCTTTCAAAAATATAAAAGAAAATGAGACATGACCCAATTAGTAAGTCAGTACAGAGTCCTATTTCCTGGCCCTTCCCCTTTGCACACACAATCGAGAACTTCACCTGATGAACTTAGCATTAATAACCTCTTATCAAATCTCCAATATCGGGGCTGGAAAATGGCTCAGAAGGTAAGATCACTAGCTGCTCTTGCAGACGACCCAGTTCCTAGGACCCACAAGGCAGCTCAAAATCATGCATAACTCCAATTCCAGGGGATTGGACACCATCTTCTTGGCCTCCACAGGTACCAGGCACACACGTGGTACAAATACACACACGTGGACAAACATTTATACAAATAATTTTTTTGTCTCTAATATTGGCTTTGTCTTGCTGAGGCTGTCCCTTCTTCCCCAAGTACAGACAAGGCAGCAACATGGTGAAAGCTGTGGTGGGCAGCACGGGGACCTGCTATGGAAAGTACCCTAAAGACATTTTAAAGTTCAGTGGTATTGATGACCAAAAAGAGAAGCAAGACACAAAACTTTCTAAAACTTGAAACTTAAACCTTTTGGGAAAATAATTCTGTAAATTTTTTTGAAGGGCTAGAGAGATAGCTCTGTGGTTAAAAGCATTTCTTCTTCTTGCAGAGGACTTAGGTCAGTTCCTAGTACTCACATAGTGGCTCACAGCCATCCACAATTCAAGCTTCAGAGGATCTGATGTCCTCTTTTGACCTCTAAGGGTACCAGGCACATTCAAGCAAAACAATCACACATTTAAAAACAAAAAAAAAAAAAAAAAAAAAACTGAGACCAGTCCACCTGGATGACCTGGAATATGGCTATAAGCAAATATTAAAATACTTAAAAAGGGTACGTGGGTGTAATACAGAGCCCCAATGTGCCTGCTCATCCATCAAATCACTGGGTAAACCAGAGGATCACGCAATGCATCTGTAACATGCCACAATGACCACTCTCCAGTAATGAGACAAACCAACTTACTTCTTATATGGCCTTTATAAATGCACCAGTCCCACAGTGAATATCTTTTAGAAAATTTCACCTAAATCAAAGAGGAGTCCAAATATGAAACTGTAGCAGATGAGGGGAAAAGTGGAGAATGTTCTCCAGAGTCCATGCTCAAGGCTACAAAGACCAGCTGAGGCAGGTCCTACCTCCCCTGCGGGGGTCTGAGCTGTAACTCCCGCTCCAGCTGCTCTGCAGTCAGGGTGCCCTGGATGGCTTCACACCCAGGGTTGAACACAGAGTAAGCGCTCTTCTCCCCCTCTTTCTTCTCCTCGGGACCCCGAGTCCCTACGTACATCCAGTAAAACATAGACAGGACAAAATAAGCCAGGCCAAATTCCAGTTCTACAAACAGACCCAGCAGGACCAACCAGAGAAGAACCTTCAAGAAGGTGATGTTAGTCAGGAGAGACTGGTGTCGAGATGAAGGCAGAGGGACCGCTGCACTCTGTGGAGGCTGCTGAGCTTCTTCCTAGGACACAGAAGTGAGGAAGTAAGAATGGGAGGGTAACGGAGCCAAGAGGATGCAATTAATTGGAAAAGGTGAAACTTAACTGCTCTAGGACAGTTGCTAGCTCCCTGATTTCCTCTCTACAGCAATCATTGCCAGAGAGCTTAGACGCCCTGGTCCAAACAAATCAACACTGATGGGCACTCAGTAAGATGTGACCCTGACAAAGACGTGCCAGTATTGAGATGGGATCCATTCATGGGAGCCATTTTTTCAGAATAGCTGGCTGCTAACAAAACCTACTTTGTGCCCCCAACAGAACCTGACCAACAATTGATAATGCTGCAGTACTTGTCCCCCAGTCGCAGTCAGCACACTTGTGCAGATTTGATGAGCTGGGTTCAAATGTCCAGAGTAACTCCGTTCTAAGATGGAGACCACACCCAAACCAAGAAACAAAAACCCCTTTCACATAAAAAAAAAAAAAAAGCCATGACGTCCACTAAAGTCATTACCACCCTACATCACACTATCCTATCCATGTCTTCATCGCTCATCCCAAAGCCTGGGAAGCATCTTCTAACTAGATTCCTTGCCTCCTCTCTTTTCACTCCCCAAGCCAGCCTGTGCACAAATGTTCAATAAGTTCTCTAAACTACCTCTACCCACACATCTGCAATAAATCCTATGGCCTGCATGTCTAAATCCAAAATTCTTGTGGGAAGACCCAGGCCAGGTGCTAGGGGAGCCCCTGGTATGGAGGTCACTTTAGGATCGTTGTCTGCTAGTTTCTAAGTTTTTGCAAGTTTCTTTTGGATACATAGCAAAAAAATAGGTTTTATACTATAGCTCAGTACACAGGTGTATGGAAACCAAAATCAGTATCTGCCTGGAAAAGCTTTCTTGCATGCCAAATTACTCAGCAACTTTAAAGGGAACAAGATCCTATGTTGATTTTATCATCCATGAATGGGTCATGACTTGCATCTTGAAAAACAAGGGCCTAAAAATTTCTTGTCCTTTTTATTTAATTAGGTGCTCTAGAGGGGGAACAGGGAGAGTTTAATGGCAAACAAAATGCCAAAGGGGACAGACACAGGAGAACACCTGAAAATTGCTCTGACTGACTGAGAACTGTGTCTAGGGCTCATCCCGTCTGCCTTTTCCACAACAGCAATGTGCAAAGTGTTTGTGCGCATACATTACTAATAGGCATGGCTCAGAGAACACATTTCCATGACTCCAGCAGCAAGCTGCTTCCTAGCTGAGGGCCCTTTCCAGAGGAGGACAAAGGCAGAGACAAACAAAGGTATAGTAAGTGAGATTTGGGTTGGGGAAGCACACTAGGGGTTGACATCAATGTCACTTCTATTGCTGTCCACATTTATTTTTGGCACAGGATCTCTCACTGAACCTGGATGTCATCAGTTAGGATAGACTGGTCGGCCAGAAGACTCCAGGGACTCTCCTGTCTCTGCCTCCTCAGTGCTAAGATTACAATTCACCAAGTGCAGCTTTTATGTAGGTGCAGCGGATTGCACTCAAGTCCTCACACTTGCATGAGCTGTCTCCTTAGCTCCAGAAAGAACATTAGAGCAATAGAGGCCTTTGAACCAAACTGGGAGGTCAGGAGTTGCAGACCAGGATGGAGAATGAACCTCCAGGGCTGAATTTCTATACTAGGAGCTTTTCTAGATAGGACCATAGATGGTAAGTTCCCAGGGGATTGAACAGTTACAAGCTTTTAACCACAAAGTGACACAACATCATTGTTTAGGGGGACTACTTTCCTCCAGGAAAACTTGGGCAGAGGGAGATAAAGGGCATGGATATTGCAATTTAGAAAATTGTAATAAGAAAGTTTATACCATGGCAAACACAGAAAGGTTATATATAGTCAGTGAAACGAACCTCAAGTCAAGTCCCTAAGAAAAGGAGAGCGATTAGTGCCCCTGCCGGTCCCAGTCCCACCCCAGCAAGCCCTCCTATCAATTTCCACATCTTTAATAAAAGAAGCTTTCTCTGGAGTTGAGCTTCTCTAGGCTCAACTCGGTGATTTCATTTTCCTTCAGAAATGAGTCAAGAATGCTTTGTGTGGGTTAGACATCGTCTTCTTTTGTTTGTTCGTTTGTTTTTCAAGACAGGGTTTCTCTTTGGCTTTGGAGCCTGTCCTGGAACTAGCTCTTGTAGACTAGGCTGGCCTCAAACTCACAGAAATCTGCCTGCTTCTGCCTTCTGGGTGCGGGGATTAAAGTGTGTATCACCAGCACCCAGATAGGAAATAATTTTAATGCGAGCAAGATGAGTTGTTTCTGGTACAATATGAACTGGGGGTGGAGTTCAGCTTTGTTTCTGACATGGTGTCTCACTTATATAGCCCAGACCAGCTTCAAGTTCACAATCCTCCTGCCTTAGGCTCCTGAGTGCTATGAATGCAGGCATGCACCCACTACTCTACCATTTTATTTTGGGGGGTGGTCCTGAAAATGGACCCTAGGGCCCTGAACATGTTAGTCACGTGCTGTACTACTGATTCTATTCCTGTATTTATTTATTAATGTATTCATTATCTTTCTCAGCAGCGCTGGAGGTCAAATCTAGTATATCATGCATGCAAAAGAAACACTGTACCACAGAGCTACAACTCCAGCAATTAAACTTATTTTTTAAAAAAAAATCTGAGACAGGGTCACAGTCGAGTCTTGAACTTGCAATCCCCTGCCTCCTAAGTAGCTAGGATTACAGGTCTTCACTATTCAAGAAAATCCCCCCTTCCCTGCTCCCAAACCAGGGCCATAAAACACACCAAAGACTTCAAAACACCTGCCACTCATGAAATTCAGGAAAGCAGCCCACCCCCATAACACACTGGGGCCAGAGGTTATACAAACAAACTGACTCCAAAGACTCAAAAAGCAGTTTATCCAGAAATGCAGTTTATGACTGGCAGTCACACTCTCCCCCTCCCCAGCCCTCCATGGCGTATTCCCTGTACTCTCAGACACTGAACTACAGGGTTTGGGTGTGTCTGTCAACTTCTTAGACCAATAAAAGTCTTTTCTCACTGTTGAGAGACCAAACTGAATCTATCCTTCCATTTCCTCTGCTGAGTTCCTACAGCTGGCAGACCCAGACCCTGGTATGTATTTGGTTTTTTTTTGTTTGTTTGTTTGTTTGGTTGGGTTTTTTTTTTTTTTTTTTTTTGTTTTTTTGGTTGGGTTTTTTTTTTTTTTTTTTTTTTTTTTTTTGGTTTTTCTCTGTAGCTTTGGAGCCTGTCCTGGAACTAGCTCTTGTAGACCAGGCTGGCCTTGAACTCACAGAGATCCACCTGCCTCTGCCTCCTGAGTGCTGGGATTAAAGGTGTGCGCCACCACCGCCCTGCACATATTTGGACAAGAAACTAAGGCCTTGTGATTGCTGAAAAAGCATAGTGTGCTGGTTCATTTCTCGTCAAGCTGACCCAAACTAGAGTCTTCTGAGAAGAAGGACTCCCAATTGAGAAATGAGATCTGCCTGCAGGCAAGTCTATCCTTTCCGCTACTAGTGGCTTTTGGTTATGGTGTTTATCACAGTAACAGAAACAAACTTAGAACACACGTTTTCTCCTTGGAGTGATTCATATTTCCACCCAGACAAGTCTCCTGCCAGGATGAGAACTACGTGAAGACACAGATTCAATTGGATTTTTCCACCATGATCACTCACGATTAAACTGGAATACCCTTCTCTAGTCCAACAGTGACAAGCAAGTTCATGTACACCACCACAGGCAGTTACAGTGACCACACTTCGGAATGTTTTGTAGTCAGACCCTTTCCCCCAGGCCTGACCCTGCTTAGCTTCAGAAATCAGTTGCATTCAGAGTGGTATGGCCACAGTCTCAAACCTTCCCACCTCCAAATCCCCTTTCTAAAACACAAGCTACCTGAGACACTGGCTACCTCTACCCAAGGTGTGAATAAAGTGAGGCCTTAATCACTGCCACTTTTGATCAACAACCAATTAGACCTTTTATCCTCCACTAGCAGTGGACTGCAGCTGTTTCTCAAAGCCACGTGGCACCTCTATTAACTGGCTGTGAACAACTCAAGTGCAGAGATGCTTCTTTCTTCGAGGTCCCCAGACCTTCGCTTTCTCTTTGCAATTAGTTGCTGCACGGGACCGTGTCTGAGACGTGCTGACACACATTGGGGAAATACGGCGTTCAGCCACTGTGCAGGCAAGGAGAGAGCACACAGCGTCAGAAGCCGTGGGCGTGGCCCGGCGCGGAGGCGGAGCTTCAAGGTGCTGGTCTCCCTCCTCACCTGAGCCTGGTTGGGCCGGGCCCGCATAATGGCAGGGCTTGCTTTCCGCTTCAGGAAGCGCCGCAGCCAGCCAGTGGCTGTCTTTGGGGTCGCCGCCGCTGGCTCCGCCTTCGCTGCTGAGGTCTGCTCGCCCTGGCTGGCCGTGGAGGGCTGGCTCACCAGCCCAGCCCGTTTGCGGGCCTCCCGGAACTCTGCTAACCTCTGTTCCATAGCGTCCTCCCGCCCGCTCTCTGGCGCGTGCTCGACACTTCCCTGGGCCGCCTTGCGCGTGCGCGGGTGGCTCACTGTTGCGCCTGCGCGTTCCGGTCGCGTCTGGCCGGAATTTTCCCAGGCGTTGTGACGTCCTGTTGATTGCAGTTCTCTGTACGCTCTTGGACCGCGTGTTCACCTCCTCGGGCTAAACTATGAGAACCGTTGTGTGTTCCTGGCTTTTGGTCGGGCCGCAGAACTGAGTTATGACGTGTTTGCACCTCACCTCAGCAAACTGGTCCTCACCGTCTGGCCTCTGTTCCATGGAGTATGCCTGCGGGGAGCCAGTGATCCGCACCACAGTGAGAAAGCCATCCCAGGACAAGGGAGGAGGCCTGTGGTGTTTGGGAGTTACCCGTGTCGTGAAGGCAGGATGCTTCCTACCTTCTTCCTGTTATGGGGTATGCCAGCCTCGCTGAAGTTTGTGCACACCTCCATTTATTAATTTATCTGTGTGTGTGTGTGTGTGTGTGTGTGTGTGTGTGTGTGTGTGTGTGTGTGTTTGCTTGCTACACTAGAGAGGTGCGCTGACATACAAGTCAGAAATGTAAAACAAACGAACTTACTGCGGTTCAATTTAAAATACACAAATCTAGAAGAGGGGCTCAAAAGAGTGTAAGGGCCAGAGATAGGAGGGGACCGGACTGAAACAGTATCTTCTGGCCATCACGGGACCACGACACTCATGAACTCCCAACAGCTGTAGTTATCTGCACAAACTCAAACTAGCGAACATTCCTGGACAGGCTCGCAAGCCCCCACCCGACTGAGGAGCTACTGATGGATGATACCTTCTAAGGGAGGAGGAGTCAGTTTATGTGGGCTCTGGTGGATCAACCATACCCAGTGGGTAGCACACGAGTGGGAATCTATGGGCTATTTTTAAAAAACTAAAAAGGAGACAAGGTGGGAAGGGATCAATGTGGGAGGAGTTAGGGAGAGGAGTGGGCATGAATATGACCAAAATACATTGTATGCGTGTGTGAACTTGTCAAAAATTAATAAAAAAATAAAATACGCAGATTTTAAACGGTAGCCCCAGCTGTGCACTTGTGTAACTATTACCCAGAAAAGATCATTTCTAGAACTCTGGGTGTGCTTGCTTCTTCTCCCAATTAGTATTTACACCAAAAATACAATTTCAGATCTGTTTTACAGATTTTTAAAGCTATAACCTAAGCACCACTTGCAGAATTGAGTCTCAGATATTTTTGGATATTGCTGAGTTTGAGTCAAAGAGCCAGGAAATGGAGTCCCATTCATTTACCAAATGTTTGTCTGGGCTGTGTGTTGAGTACTGTACCAAGCAATGAGGATTGGGGTCAGGAGTCAGGGGGTCAGAAATGAAACAAAGACCTTTGTTTTCTACATGCTAAAGAGGACGATGAGCAACAAATAAGCCACTTCATATTTAATGTCAAGTGCTGGTAAATGCTGTGAAGCCAAGCAAGAAATGGAGATGATGGTGCAGCTATGACCAGGGAGGGCCTCGGAAAGAAGTGGAGTTGGTGCAGCTATGACCAGTGATCAAGGAGGACCTCTGGGGGAAAAAATGGAGATGGTGCAGTTGTGACCAGTGATCAGGAAGGACCTCTGGGGGAAAAAATGGAGATGGTGCAACTGTGACCAGTGATCAGGGACAACCTCTGAAAGAGCAGAGACTAAATGAGGCAGGTGGCTGAGGCATGTGGCTGTCTGGTCAGGGGTGCTTCATTCAGAAGAAACATCAAGTTTACGGTTCTGATACTGCAGCTAGTGTGCTTGACCCCACAGAATCCTGTAAACCAGTGTGATGTAATAGGAGGAAGGAGGGACCGTGCCTTAGTCCGCTACCTGTTTTGGTTGGAACTGTTGGTTAGGAGTTCAGTCTAATAAATAAAATTGCCTCCAATATTATTTTCTATCTCCACTCATTACTATCCTGGATGAATGCTACAGGGGGCCTCTCCTTTTCTGGAAGGAAACTGAAATAGAGAGATAATGGAATAAACACTGAAAATTTTGGCTATGGGTCTGGGGTGCCTGTTGTTTATCCAGATGAAGGCTATTGGATAGTGAAAACTGGATTTGGGAAGAAGTAGTAAACGAAGACCTGTAATGGGAACAATTGGCTGTGTGTGATATTTAAGCACCGAGGCTGAAATCAACTAGACAGCAGCTGTGCGCCAGAAAGTTATGTGAAAACTGAGTCGTGAGTAAATTAGAGATGGTGGAGACCAGAAGAGGGTGTTACAAGTAGCTTGGTGTGGGTGGATTCTAGGAACTGAACTACTGTAAGCACGCTTAACTGTGGAGCCATTTGTCCAGCCCCCAGAGTGGAGTTTCTGTGCCAGTGTCATTTTAAGAAAAAAAATTTTTTTTTTTTTTTTTGGTTTTTGGTTTTTCGAGACAGGGTTTCTCTGTAGCTTTGAAGCCTGTCCTGGAACTACCTCTTGTAGACGAGGCTGGCCTCGAACTCACAAAGACCCGCCTGCCTCTGCCTCCCAAGTGCTGGGATTAAAGGCGTGCGCCACCACCGCCCAGCCTAAGAAAAGCTGAATCTAATTTTATTATACTCTATACAAAATGATATATCACATATATGCATATGTGTGTAAGTCACAATCACATCCTAGACCAAACACTCTGTAGGCATATCACACCCTGAGTGGAATCCCAAGTTATTTCCATAAAGGGAACTGGATCTTAGTTGGATCCTTAGACCTTTGTTTTAGGTAGGAACTACTTCCCTATTTCAGGAGCACAAGGTCTGGCAACTAGCCACAGCTGTGGATAATAGCCTTGAGAGAGCAGAACTCTCTTTTACGGGAGTTAGAAGCAGATAATCTTGAATGAACTAAAAACAAGTCCCAAACTCTCTGTCCTCTAGCCTCTTGGGACCTCCACAAAATGAATTATAGCTCTTGGTATATCTGGCATTCAACTATAGGGCATAAAGCTTCAACCAATGTTTTTAAAAGATGAACCAAAAATTATCAAACCAATATAAGAGTTATCAAAATGATAATTAACATTATGTCATAATTATTATTCCTTCATTTAATTGTTCAATAAAGCTTCAACCACTGGCACAGGCAAGAGCTGCACCCACGGAGTCATCACCCCACCACGTTTTCCTTTCCTGTTTTCTCCAAGCACTCTGAGTGGGTCTGAAGTTTTTTATTGCAGCCCCTCTGTAGCTAATTCCACAGGTATTCGGGCTCCATATCCCACAGGAATAAGACACTTTCACACAGTCCTCCATGCAGACAGGTGACTCTGGCTTCTTTTCTCCTGATGTGTTGTGGACTTTACCTGGATCTCCTTCTTGGGCTCTTACCAAGCAAGGTACCTGCCTTGAAACCCACACAGGCTTTTATTTTTTCTATGCAGTAGCAGTCAATTTCACATTTC